GACCTCTAACACCAGCCAACTGTAACTTATCTCATGCACACCAGCGTCAGTCACAACCTGCATAGTTAGTTTGACACATAGAGAATGAATTTGTTCATACATTGTCAGTTTTAACTTGATGACACATGTACATTTTTTACACTTTCAAAACATTTGAAAGTTTTATATATTTTTGGTAATGTATGTTTTTTAAAATGTAAGTAGCTTTTTTTGTAGAATTAGCTCTGTTTTCTTTTTCTTTTCTTTGCTTTGTGAATGTTTGTAACGTAGCTTGCATTGTTTCAGCTCTACAGGTTTGCACTGACCAGATACATTTTCATTTTACATTGTTTATCCAAAAATTATCAATATATCTTAGTCTGGACCAAAGTGGTGAGCTAACAGGCTAACGTAACAGTTAATGTGACCAAAGCATCAATTTGTGGTGGTACAGGGTTGGTTTTTTTACGTATTAAGAAACGAGGGAAAGTGTTTTTGCTGATTTTGTTACTACGTTCGCTGGGCCCAGGTCAACTCTTTACGCTCAGCTAACTCTTGGCATTGAAGCGACAAAAGTAATTTCTACGGTGGCTGACAGACACACTGCAAATAGAAAAAAAAACATGTGCAAATGAACTACTCGTCAGTGTTGATGGAACTTCACAAAGCATCGAACCACAGCCGGGTTCATCACTTTTTTGTGTCTCCTGGAAACATTTCTGGCGACATTTTGTGTTGTGCTCTCGGCCACCGTATATTTCCCTTTAAACACTGTTCAAGGAAACTGGCTTTATTTTTCAGTCTTTGAGAAAAGACTTAATCCTGGTCCATGCTACTGCAAGAGGCGACACGTTACAAGCTACTCAACACACACAATGCAGCCGGAGTTTATGGCGAGGGTGCATATCTGTGATTAAAAACTTCTGTCCAATAAGCGTCTGATTTGTTTTCCTTCAATGAACCATTATTCACGAGCAACCATTGTCTCGACTCGCACTCTAAAGCAAAAAATACACACACACACACATTTCATGTGTCAACGGCTCATAAATCACACAACCTATTGAAACTTTGCATAAGCTCCGAGCCACAGGTTTGAATGAAAAAGGAGCTCATCTGCCAAGAAACACAGAACACGCGGGAACATTCATGTAACATATGCAGGGCTGAATACACACACACACACACACACAGCAGCCAAAAAGCTTCAGGTCTGTAATGGGGGGGGTTTCAGGGAGCGGCGGGGGCCTTGGCAGTGCCTGAGGTGGCGTGACGCTGTTGCATCCTATCACACTACAGTAACTTACTTTAAGAGAACATCTGTTCCTTACAACATAAACACACACTCTTCACATGTTTGCTTCCCCGTGTCTCTTACAGGGGAACTTTTTCTCCTTCCCACCAGATTGATGGCTGTAAAAATAAAAAAAAATGCACCAGGGGCATGTGTGCATTTGTACACATGTGTATGTGTGACCCTTAATGCAGCAGAACACGATACTGTACACGCACTTTCTTTTTCCGGTGTGTGTCCACAACAGCTGCTTCATGTATGGAATATTTAAGTCTGTTTAAAGGCAGTGTCTGTTTTTGTGGTCAGTATTAAAACTCACTGTATCGTGCTGTTGAGTCTTGAAGTTGCCATATGAAATGACCACTGGCGTGTGCACCGGTTTACACATTCATGCGAAATGAAGACTGAAACTAACTGTCCAGAAATGAAGCAGAAATGTTAAAATCGAAAATGACTTCGACAGGGTCCTCTCATTTTTATCGCATTAAATAACTAATTAAAACCAAACTTACAAGACAAAATATTTGAAGTGTATTTCGGCTTTTTAGTTCGGCCGGTGTCCCATCTGCTAACATGAAGGAGGCAGGGTCTATGACCTATACTGCAGCCAGTCACCAGGGGGCAAATGAGAAGCTTTGGCTTCACTTTTGGGGAGCTGTCATTTCTCCAATCCTAATATTCAGCCCATGGTTTCATCTGAAGACAAACCTAACTTCATAGATAACATACAGCTGATTATTCGAGGGACTATTTCTTCTCCAGGACAATTTCACCACAGCGTTGATGCATTTTCAGTTCTTTAACATGTCTTCAATTGTTTTCACCTGGTGGGAGATATTGTTGGTGTCAGAATCCCCCGACTTATGGAACGTGAACACCAAATGTAAAACAATGAGATCACGTACAAAGTGACTCACACTGGGCAATGCCAACGTCACATATGAAGTGAAAAGGCCTCAGGTAACAACAAACAGGAGTCATCATCCGTGATGCAGCTCCTGGAGAAGACAGAGAAATTCCCCTGAGCTTCCTGCACCTCCGGGTGGTTTTGTGGATGCACACACGGTGGCGCTGGTTCTATGGTGTTTCCACAACTAAATCAATGTCCCGTCCACTAACATTGAGGAGGAAGGGTTAATAACCTATCCTGTTATAAACTGCCTCCTCCATGTTATTGGATGGGACATTGATTTACTTCTTTAATTCTTATGGTCAAGGTTTGAACAAAGTTTGGCAGCGCAGCACTCGACTGTTTCTTTGACGGTGAGACAGCAACAACAAAACAAAATCTTTGCATCTTTAGACGGATACGGTGAGGATTTTATTTTCACAGGGTCACAGATCAACTTTTAACTCTTCAGCAAACAAATCCAGGCTGCACTTTTGGCTCCGGGCCCCTGGCTCCTTCCTCCTCCTCTCCCAGACACCAGCAGTCAAAGAACCTCCTATGTGACATTATATAATGTCCTGCCCAGTCTTTTTTTTATTAAAAAAAGACTGGGCAGGCTTTATGTGTGTAACCTCCTTCAGGCTTGTTACCCCCCCGCCCTCCACCCCTCCAGGTCCCACAGACCCGCTGACCCTCTTCCTCCCCCAGTTTATGTTCACCCCTCCCCTCTCTTCCATCCATCACTTTTTAAGTTTTGAACGTACCACACAAGCCACATGTAGTCGCTCTGAGTGTGTGCGAGGAGGGGGTCAGCGCTGAAGGAGGAGTCTCGGCCCCTCAGCTCACCTGAAGAATACCTTCTTTGTGAGCTAAGGCCTTATAAAGTCACACTCCGATGCCTCCTTCCCTTGCACACTTCCTCTCAGCTTCTGTGCGGAGACATCCACCCATACCCTCGTCCATTCATTCATCACCGACACACCTAACAGCACCATGAGAGCCAGGATGAGACTGTTGCTGCTGGTTCTTGCAGCGACTGTTTGTTTGTCATATGCTCAGACCAACAACGTCAGCAATGACAGCAAGCCTCAGCCGCAGCAGCCACAGCAGCAGCAGCAGCAGCAGCAGCAGCAGCAACAGCAGCCGCAGCAGCAACAGCAGCAGCAGCAGCAGCAGCGAAGCATCTGGGATGAGCCTATTAGATTCACCACCAAGACCAAGGACTCCTGTACCATGGTGGTGTCTGGAGCTGGGGACTATACTCGCCTGCGTGTCACTTGCAAAGGTCCCAGCCAGGGCCAGACCCCGGCACGCTCCTACTACTGCGACTTCCAGGGGAAACCCAACCTGTGCCGTGCCTACAACCTCAACCCTCGCCACTACTTCACCCAGTTGATGTGGGAGATGAGGAAGCTGAGCCACGCCTGCCAGGGACCCAAAGTCTACCGCCCACAGATGTGCAAGAAATACCCCGACGAGGCCCAGATGACCTTCATGAGCTCCTGGCCCAAGCCCAGCACCCCCAAGCCCAGCACCCCCAAGCCCTCCAAGCCCGTGCAGGAGCAGCGCAAAGTGGTGGTGCCCGCTCAGGTCAAGCCCGTCGCCACTCCTAAGCCTGTCAAGCCCCAGCCCCAGCAGCCCGGCAAGCCCCAGCCAGGCAAGGCCCCCCAGACCAAGAAAGCTACCCCCAAGCCTGCGAAGACCACTACTCGTCCCACAGAGCAGACCGACTCCAAGGCCTCCCGCATAGCTACAGAGTACTGCTGGAAGAGCTTCCACGGCGTGTGCAGCTACTTCATCAGCTGGTTCCAGAACTGAGATGATTCTGCAGACAAAGGTGAGTGACAGAAAAACAATGAATGACAAGAGGAAAGACAGTCAGATTAAAAAAGGTTGAGAAAGACAAGAGAGGTGGTTTTGGTGCATGGATGAAAATCTATAAAGCCAGAAAACAACCCAAACTGTATTTATCTTAAATTAATTTTTACAAATCCTCAATCTGTTGTTGTTCCAGGTTGGATTCATAAGCGTCAGATCCGGTCAGAACTCCTCTCGTCTACATTTGACCACTCCAGGATCTGAACGGGAGCCTCGTCATCTCATGGCCTTGTGAGGTCCCACTCCCCATACTCCGCACGCAGCATCTCACAGGCTGAGCTCACATCACCCAACCTGCACCTGTGCACGGTTAACAAGGTTAACAGATGACTGCTTAGATCTGTAAAACACTCACAGCAAGGCTAAGGGAAAATACTGCAGGCGTGTGATTCTGTTTGTATATGATGTAAAGTTCCCTCTTTTTATCGCACACTCAGATGTTTCGACAACATTTATTACTCCAGGAAACAAAATGTGAAGATAAAGAGAATAAAGTCGAAGTGGTGACTTCTCCTTCTTCTTCTCCTGTGTCGTTTGTTTGGGTTTCTTCCTGCAATTTGTTTCCCTCCACACTTGCTCATTCAAAGAAGTCCTTGTTTCTGTTTCATCGGCGGCTGTAACAACACGCCTGCTGTTAACATGCAGACACAGACGGCAGTTAAGATAATACAGCTCGATCGCAGGAGGCGCCTGAGCAGAGCTAAACACTTCTTTGTGTGAGCTGACGAGTCCAGTCTTAAGAGCCACTGTGTGCAGGAACAGACGGGGGTCTGTGTGCAGGTGGAGGCCAGAGAGTGGCTGCAGCTCTGGTGTTGTTAACACTCACAGACACTCACACACACACACACACTGAGGAAGGAAGAGACAAATCACTTTTACTCACTATGCAGCCACTTCTTTAATTGTTTAATCCCTGATGTGATGGGACAGACTCATGCAGCCAAATATTAAGATTCAGAAAATTACAATTACAAGTTTGATTGGTGAGCTGAACGTCTCCAAAGATGCAACAAAAAGTCATGCAAAATATTTTGGTTTGATAACATGCTAAAGCCACTCTGGATTTCATATTTTCATTGGTTTCAAAAGTCAGAAATGTAGGAAAACTTTTATTTCAAAGCATCAAATCTACTTAAGAGGAAATAAAATAGACGGGGAATGATTATATGTATGAGTAGAAGAGTCACTTTCTGGAGCTGACTACTCAACTCTCCAGTACTTTTGCATGAGAAGATGTAAAATGCATTTATTGGAACCAGCCACTGACTTTCTTACATTTCTGTGACAGCTCCAGAAACCCATGTACACTGAGCTTTAACATACATGTTAATAATTTTCAGCAATTTTTTTAGAAAACTAGCTAAAAATTAGTCTGTAACAAAAGACCAGCTTACCTCAAACCACAGGGTGGTGCTGCTGAGCAGAGAGGAACCAACCAGTAAAAAAGTATGCTTCCCTTTCTCTCTACCCTTCCCTGTCTCTGTCACACACACAGAGATTTTTGTTGCCCATTACAAATTCCATTGTCTTATATTCAATCGATTGACTTAACCTTAAATAAATACCATAAAATGTAATGATTTATCAGGTGGGGTTTAACTTTTGTCCCCAACACACACACACACACACACACAGAAGCTGTGTAAATCCTCTACTACTTCCAATGGTCAAGTCTTTCTTGTACATTTCCGACAAATTGACTCAACAACTTGTGACCATTTGGACCTAATATGGTTCCTGCTTTATCATTATGTCTTAGTTGCAGGAGTGAAACGTGACGACAGGTTCAGGTGGATTCATGAGAGGGTAACTCTTGTCACCAACTCACTTAGTTAAAATGACACTGCAATGAAAAGACACAAAAGTGAGTTGAGAAAAATTCACTTTACACACGTTTTCGCAAAACTTAAACTGTACATTTTTATCCGTGCATTTAATTGTGTCATTTTGTTTCTGGCAGCTTTATTAATTCTTAAATGGACAAAAAACGAACTTATACCTGAGTTTACGCTGTAAAAATGATGTCATAGGTGGTGACAATAGTTTACCGAACAAAGACAAAAATAAATAGATAGAAAGTCACCAAAAATCAACCAAAACAATCAGAGACTCAAGAAAGTTTCAGGATTTGAAAGATGAAGACTTGTACTCACTTGTGCTCTCTAGTTTAATATCCTGGGTTAATGTCAGGACGAGATTCATTTGATTGTTTTCAGTCTTGTTAAATAAAACTGTTCTATTAAATTGTTATTCTATTCTGTATCTATTTAGATATGTGTGAAACACAATGACAATGAATGTGGAGTTGATCTCCTCATGGCTGAGAAGTGGCATGTGTGTGTGTGTGTGTGTGTGTGTGTGTGTGTGTGTG